TTTAAAAAGAAAAGTTTACTTGCATTTACACTTATGTATGTGTGTACGAGTGTGTGAAATTACTTTGTGGGTGAAAGTGTAATTAGACTGTGGCTATTGACAGCCAATTGTGAGTTCTTTGTTGCTCTTGTTCTTGGGGACGCGTATATGATTTCTTTGAAAGTTAGATTTTCATCCTATTTTGGGAATATTTTAAATTGGTTTACCCTTCAAATCTATTGTATTTGTGACTTATGTATATCAGAGCGCTGTTGACTATTTATTACCGCCCATCATCACTGCTGAGGATAAATCCTCATTTTGATGTTGGACTTTTTAACCCTTATTTACAAAGCACCTCTTACCCCTCTTAATAAACAAAGAGGTGTTTTGTATGGAATTATACTGCTAAGTAATAAGGATTTTTATGCAAGGATCGTATGGTGTAAAATAGTTTTGATAGTTTTGTTTCTTTACTTTTCGAGGAAATAATGATCAAAAATAAGAAGAATGGGAAAATGTGGGGATTCATCTTTTCGCTTTTGAATTTTTATATTTTTGATTTGTCAATCAATTGAAATTCGTCTCGGTTCTGGTTACTTGACTTAATGTTGCAGCAAATATAACCCGACGGCATTGATCTGGATGACGAAATTCTCTCAGCGAAGTGGATCTGTTTATACGTCAACAGTTTTTTCAAGGGCGTTGTGGCAGGGCATTACTTTCAAGTGCCCCTATATAACCAGGAAAAGCATGTTGCTCCATCAAACTCCTCCCACCAGGAGACCACCATCAAGCACTATGACGTGAAGGGGGAAGAGCCGCTGTTGCACGGTTGCTTTTCGAGGTTCCTTAGATTTGTCATCGCCTCTGCTATTGCATCACATGCACTAATGGTGATTTCGTTTCTTGCAAAAATGTTGCCTTTCCCCGGTGCAAAATACGCATAGGTATATACATATCGTCGATGTTTTTGCAAAACCGCCTAAATCGCCGTTGTGGAAAAAATGAGATTTGGTAACCCTGAACTCTAGGCATCGAGATTTATGCATACAAATCGTTAAATCGTTATTAAAACAACAGATTTGTAAAATAATAGCTAGAGAAAATACCACCTATAAAGGCAATGCCTTCAAAGAATAAACCGTTTTTTCGCTCTCTTGTAAAATTTGAGTGCCGCAAGATAGGCGGTTTTGCAACTGGGCGATGGGCGGTTTTGTAGAAACATCGACGATATGTTGTTGACGAAAATTTCTACATGACTGTAAACGAAATATTATAACTATTGCGAGGAAAGAAATTTAGTAATAGAAATATAACATATGGAAAAATGCTGATCATTGAAAAATTAAGCGCGAAAAGTACAATAGTTGGGTTAACAATACAGCATTGAAGATAACGAAAAACCCCCATGCAATTTGATTGAGAGAAAACAAAAGCATCACTGACGTGGCGCACACTGCAGCACCACAATGGCTTCGTTATGAAATAGCCACCTCCTTCTTCAATTACTTTGCTTGGTGTTGCTCATCTTTTGCCTTAAATAGTTTCGAATTCGTGTAGTTGTAAGTGGCTGATAGAAGAATGCGGTGTTTGGCGAGAAATAAGCTGAAATAAATCATGCAATGAAGAAAGTCGTTGGCGGGATATTTTATCAAATACATAAATGAGAAGTTTCCAACTTTTTGCGAACGAAAGTATTTCTATTGAAAGTTTTTTCTGCCTTACGGATGGATTGTCTGTGATTTATATAAGTGATATATATATATATACATATATATTCTTATTATTTGGGTTGTTGTTCAGTTTTATTTGTTGAGTTGCAGATATGTAATTTTCACTTGCATATTTCCAATTGCAAAGTAAGTCCCACGTTCTAGTAGTGGAGTATTTTAAATGTAGGTCACATCAAATCAAATTAATGTCTTATCAATAAACTTTATTAATGACTACGCTTTCTCAGTGAATTATGGAAGGAGTTAATATACTTACTTACGTATACTAAAGTTATTGCAATTTCATATTCATCTACATACTTACACATGTGTACATATGGATATATATGAGAAGATGTTTATGTGTTGGAAAATAAGTACTAAGTCAGCTTTCAGACACGTCAAGTCTTGCTCTCAAGTCTGCTCCTGTCAAGGCGAAGGAGGTGAGAAGAGAGGTGAAGAGTACAGATAACTCCGTACCATCAATTTGTTTCAACTTTTCTTGTCTCTTTGGATCTTTTCGTTGCTTTCCATTTAAAGAACCAAGAAGTTGAATTCAATAAAAGTTGACGCGTCTGGAAGCAAATAGAAAACACGAAAGAGAATGCGAAAAAAATTGCTTTCAAGACTTGACGTGTCTAAAAAGGGACTAATTAATTTTCTATAAGTTATTGTAACTTTCGCTCTTATTTGCAACTTTTCACGCGCTTGACGTTTGTTATATTATATTGCATGAACGTCATTTTAAAAGCCACTTTTACGCCATGGAGTCGAAAGCACAGGAATATCGGACAAGCATTTATAACTAAGAGCGCAGGAAAATATTGTTATGATAAATAGGGGAAGCAATTACCAGCTTTTGTCTGCAGCTCTGCCCGCTTGAAGTTCGGTTTAATATTATGATTCTAAATCTAAGAAGGGAAACTAATAATGCCACTGAAAAAACAACATAGATTTTGCAGCTAGGCTTTCATACTAGTATACATACATATTTTTACAATATTTTCTTCAAAAATGTGTCGGTTAAAAAGCATATATCAACACTGCTTCCAAAATAAAATGTAAAATCGAAAGATATTCCAGTTCAAATAACCTCTAAAATTAATTTTAATTTTTTGAAAACGTGGCACCCTTTTTAGCACCTGTTTTGAAATAAAGCTTTCTTAAACCTCTCTTGTTTGCCACCCATACTATAAGCCTTTTTTGGGCTCTTGCGATGACATCCATATTGTAATATGTTATTTAACTTATTAACAAAATTATATTTTATCTTTTAAAATGTGGTAGAAATAACGCTTTCCTAAACTTCTTTCGCTTGTCACCCATATTTCAATATTTCCTTACATTTAATTTGTATTTTATATATGTGGTAACCCTCTTTGAAAATATAATATCTTTCTGCTTTAATTTTTCCTCCATATTGAAATGTTTTATTTAATTTTTTGATATAAAAAATTCATCTTTAAAACAAGTGGCAAACCTCCTAAAAATAATTTCAAAATTATAATGTTTTAATGTTTTGTTTGTTGTCCATTTTTTAATAAATACTTCATTTAATTATAATGACAACAGATGGCAACATTCTTCAAAAATGTTTTAGGCAAACAAAAACTTTCATGTTTTTTTTACTTCCGGTAATCAAGTGTTAAATTTTAGCTATTCTTCTCTCAAGGAAGAAAATTCAAACACTCCCATTTTCTCACTCACTCATTTAATCGAAAAATAAAATTTTGACAATTGTGCACCCAGGCAAATGAAATCAGCTGTTCTAGTAATACCACCTTCGCCTTGGAAAAGATTTTCGTTTGAATTTCGTTCATACATTTTAAAATTTTCGTTGAACTTAAAATTTAAATTTAATTTAATTTTTAAACAGCTGGCAACTGACACTTCAAAACATATCCTATGTATTAATCCACCTAACTGTGTGCTAAAGTTGAAAAAGAAAACCCATTTTTTCGCTCTCCTGTAAAATTTGCAGCTTCGGGCTTAGGTCATTCCATTTTAAATACGTTTGTCGAAGCCTAATATACTCTTGCACCACACATTCGATAGTTTGATGACCAAAAGGAATAGACTTTTAGCGATCTCGATAAAAATGTCTAGGACTAGTATTTTCAGGGGTTTCTGCTTTTATTCCCTCCTGAAAGCATCAATCCGAGTGGATGGGGATTTGTACTAACAGTCAGCATAACCTGGTTCAATGGTTGATCAGCGCAACATTCTAACATCAAAACAAGTTTTTTTCTTTTAAAGGCGATCAAACCTCCGTGCACATTTTTCATAAGAAAAAGCTCATTAAATCCATTTCCATTCACCAGAATCACAAAACTGTCTTCCTGACAATACCCAGAACTATTTACAACACCAAGAAGCAAATCGGAACTTGGACGCCTTGGAAATATTATTATGACCTTAGCAGCTTAGAGGTAGACTGTTGTTATACGTTTTCCTTCTATCTAGAAATGCTGGGTTTCTTTCGCACCGCTATCCACTCTTTGGTCCCCTCGAGAGCTCTAGCATATCAAACAATTTTGAACCCGAATAGAATTTTACCACGGGCGTGGGGTGTTACGGTGGGGCGTGATATGTTCAGCTAACTGGAGGCTCCGGTCCCTTATTAAAAGAGCCTTGGACTAATTTTAAACACCGCCCCCTGTTAGATGCAAATTTCAGATCATTTTCGCGGCCAGAATTCAATAGTGTTATTTCCAACACTCCCTTTATCTAATTCATTTCACAGGCTGGACCCCGTGAAAGGGACAACTTTTTTTTCGACTTCGGCTTCAGTCGCATAGCTAATTTGGCTGTTTTAAGTTGCGTATATTTTTCCCACATAGAGGAGCTATCCAAGCCTAAGATCATTAAAAGCTTCGTGATTGTCTATGGAAATCAGTAAGCCCTGTGTATATGAAGCATGTAATGGTGCCCTAGCCACCCTTTACTACTCAATTACAAAAGATAATTTAATTAGTGACCGTAAAGCTTATGATCTTTATAATATAAATCAACATTTAATTAAATAACGATTATTTTGAATCGGAAAAATGTGATCGATAACGATCAAATTTGACCTAAGAAATGAAAAATCCAAATTAAGATAGCGATTATTCTTAATTGGAAAAACGATTTTGCAATGATTGAAAAATAAAAAATTTATATTTAACAATCATTTAGAAACAAGTAGATTATTTCGCCTAAATAAGTAAGAATTACATTTTAAATTCAGTGCTGAAATGCAACTAAGTAATATTTTATATTTAATATATTTTCCCTTTTTATTTTTATTTACAGACTCGAGATATTGACACTGAAGTGACCGCTCTTATGGGCAAACATCAAAACTCATAACCAAATCATATCAAGTACAATAATCACAACATACTTAGATTAAAACTTCAGAGAAAAACTACATATATAAAAATGTCAACTTCTACGGCAACAGTCGTGGAATCCACAGCGGTTATTTCAGCTACCGCCGCAGCCGCCAGTTCTGCTATTCAACATCTATCGTCCATATCGTTAATGCTCGAGTACGACATTGACAACACACTAAACACAATCAAAGAGAATGGCGTCCATATGATACAACAACAGCAGCAGCCGCAAAAGAAGAACATGAATGAATTGCCGAAAGCTCATGCGAAAATCTTATCAGCAACAATGACCGCCGAAAGTGATAACAATATGATGTTGCAACAATACAATAACTCTTCGGACAACAATACTTCAGAAGCTTTAAAAGATATCAAACATGTGCTGCCACCAACACCACCCGCCACGCCCAATTTGGCAAATACTGCGCGTAAACGCTGGAAGATTTTGGCCAAGGTGTTGCGAAAGGACTCAGAGGAAACTGTGTCCTCATCGGGTGAAGAGTTTGGCGAAGAGCAAACAGCGTCGGTGCGTCGATTTAAGTCTTTCGATTTGCTGCGTCAGGACAGCTTCGAAGACCACATGTCATTGAGTTGTCTGAGCAAACCGGAGAATTGGTACAAATACAGCGTGCTGCTCGATGGAGAGGGGCAGCAAGAGTTCACTGTTAATATACATCACGTGGAGCGTCACTTAACCGCTAGTGATCTAATGGGTTTCAACAATACCGGCAATATTTGTGTGTGGCCCTCAGAAGAAGCATTAACCGCATATGTTTTGTCCAACTTGAATGCATATAGTGACAAATGGATACTGGAGTTGGGTGGCGGATTTACATGTCTAGCCGGGTTGATGCTCTCCAAGTACGCCAAACCATATGCGGTGCATTTGACCGACGGCAATGAGGTATCCGTGGAGAATGTGAAGAAGACTGTGTGCTTGAATGAGCTGTCCTGCTACACCAAGTGCTCGGTGCTAAAGTGGGAGGATGTGGGAGCGCGTGAAATGGCTGAGGCTGGAAAATTCGATGTAATCCTGTCAGCTGATTGCTTATTCTTCGATGAAGCACGTTCATCGCTGGTAGAGACTATATGGTATTATTTGACACGAACAGGTGAGGCGCTAATAATGGCACCAAGACGCGGTAAAACCATGGCGATGTTTGTAGCTGAATGCGAGCGAAGGGGATTCCAAGTGGAGATAACACAGCGCTACAATGATACAATATGGAAGCGGCATGAAGAATTGTTGACATCTTCGGAATTGTATGATGAAGATTTACATTATCCGGTATTGCTGCGACTGCGTAAGCCCGCAATGTGATAGAAAATAATCGGACCAATTGATTATCTAAAAAAGATTTACATACTGTAGTCATAGCTTTATGAACCAATTTTGTAATATGTATTCCAAAAATTCCAAGCGCCTAAATATTCCGAAAAAATAACAAATTATTATATTAAAGAAAACTGTATATCGTTCAAAAGTTTGTACATTTTTAAAGTGCTTTAGAAGCGCAAACAAGATGGTAAATGCTTTAATATAAATAGTATAGATACAAGTTCGAATAGCCTTTCCTACTTGAGCATAGATACTACTTGAACAAGTAGACCCAGTAGTTTAAGATTCTAAGCCTTTCCTAACTGATGGAACAAAGAATGAAATGTGAGAAATAAACCCTTGCTTAACAAGGTAACTGTTCTCTTGACCGTTGTTCCAAAAAAAAACTATTAATTATTTTATTAAAGCAAACTATTTCCATAGAGGAATAAACTTAAATTTTGTTATGGTGTACCTTTATCTATGTTTGCTTGTTTAAGCCTCTTTCGTTTCCTATTTAAGTGCTCCTAAAGATCTCCTATCTGTCTTTGTATCCTTGTGCTGTGTCCTAGTACCAAAAAAAGTATTATTTTTGTGTTATCTTCTAGATTTACAAACACATATTGATTCATATGTAGGTGTAATAGTAAATAAGCGAGAAATTTTATGAAATTTGTTTATGCTGTTAAGTTAAACAATTAAATGTTATGCCATAAAGAAAATATATTAAACTAATAAAACAAATTGATTTAGAATGAAAACAATGCACTATTTTAGAACATTCATATTTTTTAAATAAATATATCAAGAGAAGATGAACATGAAAGGTAAGTATGTAAATATATAAAGTAAGTACAACGCAAGAAATCCTACCAAAATTAAATCGGCAAACAATTTTTGTTTCGCGCCCAGGCACTATGCTTGCCCTTATATGCTGTGGGCAAAAATAGTAGCTGAGTCCTCATTGCTTTGAACTTGGTATTGGTAAATGCAACAACAACGTTGAGGCTTACACTCTGTCCTTATTTGAAAGAAGTATAAGATAGTGAAAACTGGTTAATATCACGCATTTCTCTTAGAAGTCATACCCAGTGCTGTTCAGATGGCGCATAGATGCACTACCGTTTCTTCTTCATAGAGCCCAGTGGCCTGCGAAAATAGCAGTAAGTAGAGAAAACCCCTTCATTTTAGTATGAAGAAGGCTTTCCCTAGTTGTTGAGGCATACAATTTTACATAGCCTGCATAATTGTAGGTATTACCAACCGCGATCAGCCACATTGTGACAGTACTTAGAAGTTAGGCCCAGAATATAGCCCAGAGGTACAAAAACCATTTTATTCCGCTGAGATATTCATAGCCGATCTGTTTCTAGTAAACACGTAGGCCACTTCTTTACCAAGAATACTGATGTGCTCCGGCACCCAATCTTTGCAACGATATGCCTACCAGCTAAAACCATAACGAGCTCTCTACATTGCTTTCTATTATTCTAAAAAGATACATACCAAGTGCTTTCATCCCCGTCTGTCTGTCCGAGAAAAACGCAATGATTGCCCTAGTTCGTTCTGAGGCTAGCACTCTTTAAATCGCCTCTGATAGCAATGATGTCCGCCTTCAAAACGCTCGCCGAATCTGGAAGTCGAATAGAATTTACGATTTGCAGGTCAGTTGAAAAAATGTCCGACCCTACTACACAATCCATTTATGAAGCGTCCGTTTCCTGGATGAAAACATTGTGTTAAAATTTTTCCAGAAGAAAATACTTAGTCGGATAGATTTAATGGAATATTTCGTGAATATATTGATCGGCTAAAAAGTATAGGACAAGTCCGTGCCTCTACGTACCTAATTTCCACAGACACAGTTCTATTAACCTCAGAGAACTCGGCCAAGCAGCCTTCTTGATAAAAATATCAATCGGTTGAAAATTATCTGATAGTCCCAATAATTTAAATGCAGGTAAAACTTTATACCCTGCTTAACAATGTGTGTATGTATATATCTACATAGTTCGCCTCCAAGGCTTTCTACCAAGCCAGCGAACCAGGGCAATGATAGCGCGAATAACCGCTTTGTATATCCCTAATTTAAGATCAGGACGTATACATCAGTTGTTACCCAAAATTTTGTTCTGAGACTACAGAAAGCCATTCGAATTTTTAACTTGGTGTTCTGTTCTCATTTACGAGTTTAGATTCTATGACTCCTGAATATTAAGCGCTGGAGCGTAGAGAAATATTTAGTACATACAACTTTTTAGGAAGGTAACCTAACTAGGAATCTTTTTCCTTGTTATGAATAAAAGTAGTCCTACAAAAGGAATCTGACCAAGAACTCAACCACCCTGACTCTTATCACACGTATGCCCAATCCGGGAAGTTATTTCACTCTGCAAAGTATTAAACCGCATTGACGAAAATGACACCCGATACGTATAATGCAATGCATCAAAAATGTCAAACCTAAAAAGATACACCTGTCTAAATAAATACCTTAAAATGCAGCGACCGACTTTAACTATTATGAACAAGTTACTAATGATTCGCCCGGAAGTGCGATACATTAAACTTCCCAAAGCTTTTTAAGAGTATCGACTTCAATTTCAACGTAGATAACGAAGGTAGCTTTGGTTCAATGGGTGACGAAAAGCCCGATAGCGGGTTGAGACTGATTTCCTTCGCTGGAATCCATTAAATTTCGTGGTTCTCCGTTTACACCTATACCTATACAATGTAAGGAAAGCTCGGTGTCAAATCAATGCAATTTCAAAAAACAGTCTGCAGTTACGAAACGTCTTTTGCTGCATATAGTTGTATTCTGCGACCACTTGTAACGCTAGTCATGTGGACATGCCACAAGTGGAAAAGGAAGAGAAAAAGAGACGTGTTATTCAAGGAGGAAAAAATCCGAAATACGTGAGTTAAAGGAGCTTGAATAACGTAACAATATTATACCAGGAAGAGCGCGAGTTGCTGATGATTTAATACCTGCACGAATACCTTTGAGAATGGTGAAAGATATTCAAAACGAATTTAAATTTTGGAGAATCTGCTAAAAGGTAAACGAAGAATGACATATACAAATTATCCACCAATCACTCCGGCAACCGAATATGACGAAATTTGAAAAGTAATACCCACAATCTATAACCAATTGGTTAGAAGTGCGTAGTAACGCCCGGTGGGATCCAGATTCGATACCTGGTCCGCGTGATACCCAAAAGTTATAGAAAAAGACTTTCCTAAAATGTCGCGATCACTCCTCAGGAGACAATGGCAAACCACGTGCCGTTCGGAGATCTCATAAAATTGTGAATACGTCCATTCGTGTTCTAACATAAAGACTTACAGCACGAAAACTTTAAAAGATTTTCTTATTTATAGTGCGGCTAATAAATAAAAGTGCCGCAACCGATGTGCGGCCAGCCGAGCAATCCAGATAATTACTTAGCCTAAAGAAAATATTTTCGGGTGGCAGAGTTTAAGTGTGCTCTTGTCAATCCACTAACAGGGTGACCCTTAACTCGAGATCAGAGGGCTGTGAAAATCGTTTTACCTTTACTGTACAATATTGCACACTTCAGTAAATGCAGTAATGAAGCAAATTCACTTGACCATAAATGGAGTGAAACTCATCCCTTGCTCATAACCAAAACAGCAGTTTACATGCTCAATGTTAGTTATTTTGTGTTAGTACGCTTTGATACGATTAAAAAATATTTTTTTAATGAAAAACAAACATACTTATGTATCAAAGAAGACAAATTTAAGAATAATTGGGGTAAGTTGCTGCTAAGTTTGGGTAACATATACACACACTTCAATTATGCGTAGAATTTTACTGCACTAGCAAATGCAGTAGTGCGTGATGCTTTTATTACAGCAATGTTTTGTTGAAGCAAAGTTTTGATTCACTATCTGCAGTAGTCCGCATTTGACAGCATTTGAAAGCTCTGAGGAAGTGAAGTGTAGTATAGCGAAATTAGCAAATGTTATGACTTCCTTTTCAAAACCATCTACTATGTACATCAACTATGTGTGTACCTGTAGATTTCAAATTATCTTTCTACAGCAGGTTGCCAGACTAGCATTGCTGCGTAAAGTGACGTAACAAAACGCCAGTTTAGTTGGAAACAAGTTTCGAACAACAGAGAGAGTCTCACATGTGATACCACTATTCCGATTTTGGAGAAGGTGAAAGTATAAGCGGATCTGAACTGCCCAGCCAAACTTCGTTTTTATAAGAGCCGAACCCCAAGGAAGTTAAAATAATCGGACTCAATATTGCGCCGACTGGTTTGGCTTCTCGAAACTAAACATATAGCGATTGAGTGGGGCTCGAGTGAATGCCTGGACAAGGACACAACGAAGTATTTGCAGCTATCAACATACAATGGGCCGCATGAATAAAAACTAAGCAATTGCTTTTCTAAAAATGTCAGGCCTTTTACTTGATCCTACTTCCTACTAATATTGTAAATGTGAATGTTTGTATGTTTGGATTTTGGGGCTTCATCACGCAGAAACGACTGAATGGATTTGCATGAAATTTCGCACGCAGATATCTTATGACCTTGGCTAAAAACAGGCTACTTTTTTAAGAGTTTTCAACTATTAAAAAGTTTAACAAACCAATAAGTTAAATCAAATAATACAATACCAGCTTAATTTCGAAGATATTTTTGAAGAGAGTTGCCAACTGTTTGAAAATGAAGTTTTGCACACAGGTGGTCAATGAGCTGGATTGAAAAATAGGCTACTTCCGCAACGGCTTTCCTGATCAGAACCAAATTTGGCACACTTAGTACGGATTTCCCAAGAATGGCCTTACACTGAAAATAATTCTGATAAATCAAGAGGTCGTGGCCGCTCCCATACAAATTTGAATTTTCATAACCCATACATATCTATTAAAGTATTTGTGGGACAGAACTGGAACTTGGTATGGAGATATATATGTGAAATCAAATTCATACTCGTGGAGCAAAATGGGCGCGGCACCTCCCATGCTCGCTGAAACTTTCATATTGCATATCTCTTCAAATATTTGGGGTAGAGTACTCAAGCTTGGTATGAAGATATGTATGTATGTGAAATCAATTCCATACTAATGGAAAGTGAGAGAATAACGTGGAGCGTGGCAAATTCCACGCAAGTAGATTTTTTTGTACTGGATACCTATGGGGTGTTTATTGCAGAGGACTGGAACTTAACACCGAGATGTGTATACAAAATTAATTCCATGTCCATGGAGAAAAATTGGAGTTATTCGAAAATAGGGCGTGGTACCTCCCGTACAAATTTCATATTTTATACTGCATATCTCTAGAGGTGTTTATGGTAGAGTACTGGGACTTGGTATTAGGATATATAAAATCAATTCCATACTAGAGATGGGCGCGAGATATCGTGACCCGCGGAAGCCACGGTACTGATTTCAAAATGGCCGGGCTGGGCGGTATCGGGAAGGTCTTTAAAAATATTGCGGGCGGGCGGGATCTAAATCGGTTAACATGGTCCAAAGTTATGCGGTTACATACATAAGAAAAAAAATATTCCGACGAACCTATAACCTCCTCCTTTTTGTGAAGTCGGTTAAAAATTATTCGAAAGATGCCAGAGATTTCATTTATTATTTAAAATGAATTTGAACAACATGTGAATTTGTCTTAGTGATAGATTTCGGGATA